AATAATAATAATAATAATAAAGTTGGAAGGGACCTTGGAGGTCATCTAGTCCAACCCCCTGCTCAGGCAGGAAACCCTATACCATTTCAGACAAATGGCTGTCCAGTCTCTTCTTAAAAACTTCCAGTGTTGGAGCATTCACCGCTTCTGGAGGCAGGTTGTTCCACTGGTTAATTGTTCTGACTGTCAGGAAGTTTCTTCTTAGTTCCAGGTTGCTTCTCTCCTTGATCAGTTTCCATCCGTTGCTTCTTGTCCTGCCTTCAGGTGCTTTGGAGAATAGCTTGACTCCCTCTTCTTTGGGGCAGCCCCTGAGATACTGGAACACTGCTATCATGTCCCTAATGTAAAAATGTTACAAGATTCTATTCTATTTTATTTCTATTCTATTCTTATTCTATTTCTATTCTATTCCTTATTCTATTTCTATTCTATTCCCTATTCTATTCTATTTCTATTTCTATTCTATTATTTCTACTATTCTATTCTATTCTATTTCTATTCTATTATTTCTATTCTATTCTATTAATTCTATTCTATTCCTTATTCTATTCTATTCTATTCTTATTCTATTCTTATTCTATTCTATTCCTTGCTCACAAGAAATGAAAGTCCAGAGGGTAGATGGGTTGATTTGAGGTTTCCTCCTTAAATCCAGAGTAAAAGAAAGCCCCTCCCCTCCCATAACTGGGGGTGCAATGAGCTGCGATGCCATCCCCCTTCATAGACTGTTAAACCACCACTCCATCCCCACCCCCCTGGCCCCTCGGAAGCTGGAACACCAAAGTGCCTTTTCCAAGAACGACTAGTAATCTATTAGTTTCCTTTGATAGGTAAGTTTGGAACTGTTTATTAGCTGAAGGGCTTTAGCATAGCAATAAGTGAGGAGGAACCCCATTCATTCATTCATTCATTCATCTGTCTATCAACCACGCATCTCACAGGCCCTCTGGTTTGTGAGCAACGAAGGCTTACGTCTTTGTCCTTCCTTCTTTCTCTTTTTGCACAACCACAGTGGTGGCTGACTCGCCCGTTTGGAAGGCAGTTCCGAAGTCCAGAGATGAAGACTTCTATGGGAAGATGGCAAACATGGTATTGGCCTGTTTCTCTCTCTCTCTCTTTATTAATGACTTTCATTTTGCGGCCACCTGGTATCTGAGGTCTTGTGGGAGGTTTCCAGGCCTGCCCTGCACGCTCTGGCTGAATTTGGGCAGGTTAGTTCCAGAATGCCAAAATTCCGAAAAGGTCCTAGGGCAGGGATAGGCAACCTTGGCTCTTTTATGACTCGTGGACTTCAACTCCCAGAATTCCTGAGCCAACCTGGCTCAGCTTGGAAACCTCTCCCTTTCCCCTCAGCCGTGCTGGCTCAGGAATTCTGGGAGTTGAAGTCCACCAGTCATAAAGCGGCCTAGGCCTATACCAGGGGTAGGCAACCTTGGCTCTTTTATGACTGGTGGACTTCAACTCCCAGAATTCCTGAGCCAGCCATGCTGAGGGGAAAGGGAGAGGTTTCCAAGCTGAATTGAAGTCCACCAGTCATAAAGCGGCCTAGCCCTATACCAGGGGTAGGCAACCTTGGCTCTTTTATGACTCGTGAACTTCAACTCCCAGAATTCCTGAGCCGGCATGGCTCAGCTTGGAAACCTCTCCCTTTCCCCTCAGCCTGGCTGGCTCAGGAATTCTGGGAGTTGAAGTCCACGAGTCATAAAAGAGCCAAGGTTGCCTACCTCTGGCCTAGCATGGCTGGCTCAGGAATTCTGGGAGTTGAAGTCCATGCGTCATAAAAGAGCCAAGGTTGCCTACCCCTGCCCTAGGGTGACCTTTCTCTGAGCACTTCAGAAGAGGGCCAGGGCCCTCTTGGTCAACCACCTCCTGCCTGCAAAGCTCTGCCAATGGGGGGGATGGCCTCGGACTCCCCACAGGCAGGGCCTCAGGCTGAAGGCAAGAGTGAACCAGGAGACGGGCTTCCTGGATCCCTTCAGTCTGGAGGCCAGAGACCAGGAGCAGAATAATCCGGTGAGTAAAGAGGATTCCGCATAATGAGTTCCCGGTTGTTTGTTTGCTTGCTTTTTTTTTTTCCTTTGCAACGTGACAAGCGCACCCCTGGGGTTTGAGCCAGGGGGGGGCTTTTGCTGTCCACCTCTGTTGTTCTTCGCTGCTTGTTCAGGTGCTGATTTTGTTTCTGCCCAGGGCCCAGGCCGACGATCCCGATCGACTTCCCAGTCTTCTTCGGCCCACATGGTATGCCCTGAAACTGACTTGCTGCCACTCAGTCATTTCTCCACTTATCTATCGTTCTCTCGCCATCACCACTTCTCATTTCCATTGCTCGTTAGCACTTCCTTCCTTCCTCCTTCCTTCCTTCCTTCCTTCCTTCCTTCCTTTCTCCTTCCTTCCTTCCTTCCTTCCTTCCTTTCTTCCTTCCATCCTTTCTCCTTCCTTCCTTCCTTCCTTCCTTCACTTTGCTGAAGACGTCCCTTCTTAAAGCCCAAACTGAACTCAGCTGTCTGTAACAACAGGGCCTGGGGCGGCGGTCTCGGACCACCTCGGAGTCCTCCGTGCATTCCATTGGCCGGGAGAGGCGGAATTCGGCCGCCACGCAGCCGTCTCCGCCCCCACCCTCCATCCCGGAGAGGAAGAAAAGCCCCAAAGAAGCGAAGAAGGAGCTGGCACCTCAAAAGGTGAGCCATAAACCTGAAAGCTAAACGGAAAGACCTGCCCCCCCCCCGCGGCTCCCCCATCCTGGGTGGGCTCCGATGCCTTTGCCAAGCTGGGTCAAACTTTCCGGAGGCCTCTCTCTCTCTCTCTCCTTCCCCCTACAAGCTTAGCACGTCCTCCTTCAAACTTAAAAATCAGAAATTGCTCTGGAATCTTGGGGGGGGGGGGGAAACAAATTGTATTTTAAAAAAAACAATGATTGCATATATTTTTTTCCCCAGAGCGGTGGCAACTGGCTTCGTTGGCTAATGGGGAAAGGCAAAAACGAAGCTCATCTGCCTGAGGATAAGAACAAGTCGGTAAGGAAGCCGTTCACCCTCTACTGGCACGCCTGGGCGTTATTTTCTCCCTTTTAATATTAAATTCACAAGTGTAGGGTTTGGCTACACCAGGGGTAGGCAACCTCGGCTCTTTTAGGACTCGTGGACTTCAACTCCCAGAAATCCTGAGCCAGCATGGAAACCTCTCCCTTTCCCCTCAGCATGGCTGACTCAGGAATTCTGGGAGTTGAAGTCCACGAGTCATAAAAGAGCCAAGGTTGCCTACCTCTAGCCTAGGCCTAGGGTGCTTTATGACTCGTGGACTTCAACTCCCAGAATTCCTGAGCCAGCACGGCTCAGCTTGGAAACCTCTCCCTGTCCCCTCAGCATGGCTGGCCCAGGAATTCTGGGAGTTGAAGTCCACGAGTCATAAAAGAGCCAAGGTTGCCTACCCCTGGGCTACACATTTTTATCTTTCACGTGTTTTTTTTTAATTTCAAATGGCACCCATTCCAATCTCAGAAAAACGCCTTTCACGATTGGCAGAGAAAGTTGGGAAAAACTCTTGGCACTATGGTTTCTATCAGGCAGACAGAAACGAATGAGACGAAACTGTTCCTAACGAGAACTAATATTGATTTTATTTCATTTATTTATTAAATTTGTACGCAGCCAATCTTATGGTCAAGCTACCCTGGGTGGCTTCCAGTACCAGAAATAACAAAATAAAACAATCACAGGATTAAAACATAGGTCGTTAAAAGTTAAAACGTTAAAATTAATATTACAGCGGATGAAAAAGAATCAATGCACGGAACAGAACCCATTAGCAACCACTTGTGTGTGAAGCTTATACAGAATGTAGGAAAAGTTTGTATCTTTAGAGAAATAATTTTTTCCTTAATTATTTAATAGATAAAAAAGATCATGGTGTCCTGGAAATTTAAATAAAAGAGGGATAATCAATTGGTGGCGAATGTCCCTGTACACCTGGCAGTACCAGTACCCACTTCACAGGGGCAGAATGGGGTTTCCCAGGGGTTTCCTTCCATCCCCCTTCCAGGACAGCTGTGGGGAGAGCATTAAATGGGGCTAAAGAGAAGGCGTTCCTTATGTGGGAACTGTCACATGATATAAATGTGAGGCTGGTTTAAGCACTAACGTTTAGTTCTTTGCGATTAGAGTATGAGAGAGAGCAGCAGTCTCAGTTCGATCTTCTATACCTAGTATAGTAATGTATATGCCTTAGCATTCATCTGGCTTGATCTGACTCTGAGGTTAAGAAAGCATCGCTGGAGAAACCATAGAGCAGTGTTTCTCAACCTTGACAATTTTAAGGCATGGGGACTTCAACTCCCAGAATTCCACAGCCAGCAATGCTGGCTGTGGAATTCTGGGAGTTGAAGTCCCCATACCTTAAAATTGTCAAGGTTGAGAAACACTGCCATAGAGGCTTCGTTTCCTTGGGATCCCTGCTTGCCAGGGAGAGTTGTAGTTGTCTGCCAATATTGATTGGTTCACCACTATTTGATGGGTCGCTATGATTTCTGGGGAAAAGGTTATGACATTAATAAAGTACGAGGGCAATTCAAAAATAAACCTCCGTTTGGTTATCAATGACAGACAATGGCAGATACACAACTTTTATTATACCCACTGCTAAACTACAACATTACATGACTTTTCGACATAATCGCCATTCAAATTGTGGCACGTGTCCTAACGTCTTACAAGGTTTGAAAGTCCTTAGTCATAGTTGCTCGGCGCCAAATCTGGGCTATGGGGGGAGAGTGATCAAAACAAAGCCAACACAGTGCTGGGCTGCATTAACAGAGGGACAGAATCAAGATGACGTGAAGTATTAATACCACTCTACAAAGCCTTGGTAAGGCCACACTTGGAATACTGCATCCAGTTTTGGTCACCGCGATGTAAAAAAGATGCTGAGACTCTAGAAAGAGTACAGAGAAGAGCAACTAAGATGATCAGGGGACTGGAGGCTAACGCATATAAGGAACGGCTGCTGGAATTGGGTATGTCTAGTTCAATGAAGAGAAGGACGAGGGGGGACAGGATAGTAGTGTTCCAGTATCTCAGGGGCTGCCCCAAAGAAGAGGGAGTCAAGCTAGTCTCCAAAGCGCCTGAAGGCAGGACAAGAAGCAACGGATGGAAACTAATCAAGGAGAGAAGCAACTTAGAACTGAGGAGAAACTTCCTGACTGTGAGAACAATTAACCAGTGGAACAACCTGCCTCCAGAAGCGGTGAATGCTCCAACACTGGAAATTTTTAAGAAGAGACTGGACAGCCATTTGTCTGAAATGGTATAGGGTTTCCTGCCTGAGCAGGGGGTTGGATTAGATGACCTCCAAGGTCCCTTCCAACTGTATTATTATTATTATTATTATTATTATTATTATTATTATTATTATTATTATTATTATTATTATTACTATTACTATTACTATTACTACTATTACTATTACTATTACATCCCAACAGAACTGCTTCAAAAGTTCTTGGGTGCGTCTAGCGGTGTGCGGGCGAGCATTATTGTGAACCAACAACACACCGGAAGTCAGCAGTGTCACCCGACGCTTGTTCTGTAGGGCTCATCTTGAGTTTTCGTAACGTTTCACAGTAGACGTCTGAATTGATAGTCGAACCAGGCTCCGTGGACTTCACCAGCAGTCCTCCTCTGGCATCTTCACATTTGGCGGGATTTTCTATGGCACCACTTCCGGTGTGGTTTTGGTTCACGATACAATACTCACCCGCACACCACTAGACGCACCCAAGAACTTTTGAAGCAGTTCCGTTGGGATGTTTTTGATCACACACACACACACACACACACATAGCCCAGATTTGGCACCGAGCGACGACTACTAAGGAATTTCAAACCTAGTAAGACTTTACAAGTGCCTCAATTTGAATGGCGATTGTGTTGAAAAGTAATGTAATGTTGTAGTTTTCAAATGGGTATAATAGAGGTTCTGTATGTGCCAATGTCTGTCATTGATAACCAAACGGAGGTTTATTTCCGAATTGCCCTCATAATAGATGAAAGGGCTTAAATCAGTACAGCAATAATCTTTGGTGTTCAATATAAAGTATAACTATCTAGGTTGTGGGTAGAGGTTAGACAAACAAGGAAGGGAAATTAGGGAATGTGTCCTTAGAAAGTTTCCCATAATATATTTACTTCTGCTTAGTAAGGGGTTTTTTTTTTTTTTTAAATTCTGTTATCTAAGGTAGACTGTTTTCCTTTATATTTGATTATTCTAGCAATATTAAATGTGTTTAAATGGAAAACAGACATACAGGTCTAGCTAGCTGAATCTGGCTCCTCTTGGAAAGAAGTGGGGGGCTCCTAACTTGCTTCCTTCTTCTTTATCCGTCTGCAGATTGTTTGGGATGAAAAGAAACAGCGGTGGATCAACCTGGACGAACCAGAAGAGGAAGTAATTGTTGTGGCCAGTTCAGAGATGAATGTCAACATATCAAATGGGAATTGAGATTGCATCACCACTGAGCATCATGCACATCATGCCCCAAGTCCCTTTTTGCTCTACACACACACAGACACACACAGACACACACACACAGAGCACATTGTCAAGGGATGAAAAAGCAGCTGCATTCCTGGGAGGGTCTTCTTCTTTCTTTTCTATTCTAGCCTGCTTTTTTTCTCCATCCCTTTGTCTCCCCTGCTTGAGGGGTTCTTGTGAAAGCCATTTAATGGTTTAAACACCAAACGTAAAGGAGGCCCAACAGAGAACTGTGTCGGGAAAGGGAAAGCTGTCAATTAAGAGATTTGGATTTTCAAGGACTTTTTTCCCCCCCTCTTTTTAGACCAAACCCCCTCCGCCTCCCCCCACCGGATTTCCTCAGGCAGTTGTTCCCCCTGGACTAGCAGGACCTCCCAACTCTTCCGTCAACATGTTCTCCAGGAGAGCAGGTACCTTGCGCAGTCAGAAGACCCATCCTGAATATCCTGAGAGGTGGGGGGAAGCCAGGGGTTGCCTGTGAATCAGTGGGTCCATTGTTTGTTCACTCCCTTCCTTGGGTGTGAGTGGCTGGTCCAGATGGCAGGCAACAAGGGAAGGCCGTCTTGGTTTGAGAGCATCTCAAGAGGTTGCAGGAGCTGGTGTGCTTTATGGCGAGGGTCCCTTGGAATAAATCAGTAAACACGCAACACAGCCTCACCTCTTGCTCAATCATTAGATCAGGGGTAGGCAACCTCAGCTCTTTTATGACTCGTGGACTTCAACTCCCAGAATTCCTGAGTCAGCTATGCTGACTCAGGGATTCTGGGAGTTGAAGTCCACGAGTCATAAAAGAGCCGAGGTTGCCTACTCCTGCATTAGATAGTAGCAGGCCAGCATTTGCAAAATGGCCAATAATGGGTTTGGCTTTTCATATGTATCCCATTAGCCCCCAAAGGGTAGGAACGCCTGCTCTGTGTTAAGTATTAAAACGAAATGGACGCACGCTGTAGGGGTGGTGGGTCAGTGGGAGAAAGTGGGATCCTGGCAGCGGATGTTCTGGAGCCGCCCGCTCGTTCCCACAGCTCCAGGTTAGCTTTGTGGATCTGACCGTAAGGTCTGCCCGGCCTTTGCTTTGGATGCCCTCCGGGTGGGTTGGAAGAGAGTGTCAGATCTGTCCCCGATGTAGACATTTAGGAAAGAAACACCCTTAGCTCCATCCTTCGAAGTGAAAAGTTCTTTTACTACAGTTAAGCGGCAAAAGCAGAGCCAGATCTGAGTATTCCCATGCAAAGGTGGCATTTTCCCCTTTCCCCAGTCCATCAGTGGCCAATGGTATTCGTCTTTGGAGTTTTGCACTCTGTTCCCAGGCCATGTGGCCTTGGCGCCCGGCTTATTCTGCTTTGAGCCGTGGTGGCGCACTGGTTAGAGTGCAGCTGTAAGGACCCACCTCAATCTTACATCTTAAGAAGACAGAACTCTTGGAATGTCTCTTCCAACAGGGATCTTTATTAAGAGAAGTTGATTGTAGGCATGCTAGACAGGATCTGGGGGATCCTCTCCCACCCTTCAGTGTTTTAAAGTGTTCCCAAGCAGCCCCCACCCCACAGTTCTTCCAGGCAATTCAATCCGTCAGTCTGCTCCGTTGGCACAATCACTCCTCCTCTTTTCCCAGGTCCCAGGCGTTGGATTTCCCCCCCACCCCTTTTTCCTCACTGCCCGCAAAGAGGAGTGAGATGAAAGGCGATGGCCACATTGTTATGGTTAGTTCTCATGGTCACTTTGTAGTTAATGAAGGAAGTGAGAGTCATAAACCCCCTGTAAGGACCCACCCCACTTTACATCTTAAGAAGACAGAACTCTTGGAATATCTCTTCCAACAGGCATCTTTATTAAGAGAAGATGGTTGCAGGCGTTCTAGACAGGATCTGAGGGATCAACCCCTACCATTCAAGGTTTTAAGTGTTCTCAAGCAGCCCCCACCCCACCGTCCTTCCAGCGATGATCCCAGGCGTTCCATTTCCACCCCTTTTTCCTCACTGCCGGCAGAAGGGAGACTTCAGAGAGAGAGTAGATGAAAGGCGATGGCCATATTGTTATGGTCAGTCCTCTTGATGAGAATCACATCCAGTCCTTTGTAGTTNGAAGCAGCGGCATTTAAGTCTAAGTGCTATTGCTATTGCTGTTGACACCTCTGGTTGCTGTCAGCTTGTCTCCCTCCCCCCTTTTGTCCAAATTCCTTCTCCCCTCCCTTTGCCATTTATGGCAGGATGTCAGTTAAGCGAAGAAGCTGGAGATGGCAGGCCTGACAGATAGGTTTCTTATGGGAGGATTCCTGATAGCTTGTGGGGTGGGGCCCCAACCAGCAAATGTGGAACCGCTGCATATTTTGGCTTCAGGGTCCAGGATTGCATTTCACCACCACCCCCTCCTCGCCAAGAAAAGCATGTGTAAGGACCCACCCCACTTTACATCTTAAGAAGACAGAACTCTTGGAATATCTCTTCCAACAGGCATCTTTATTAAGAGAAGATGGTTGCAGGCGTTCTAGACAGGATCTGAGGAGTTCTCTCCCATCCTTCCATGTTTTAAGTGTTCCCAAGCAGCCCCCACCCCATAGTTCTTCCGGCAACGATCACTCATCCTCTCTTTTCCCAGATTCCAGCCGTTGCCTTGTTCCCCCCCCCCTTTTCCCTCATTGCCGGCCAAAGGGAGACTTCAGAGAGCTGAGTAGATGAAAGGCGATGGCCACATTGTTATGGTCAGTCCTCTTGGTGAGATCCACATTCAGTCCCTTTGAAATTTTAATGAAGGAAGTGAGAGCCATAAAACCCTTTTGCTCATCCCCCTTCCCCTTCGTAGTATGACCGAATCCAGAGAGGGCAGAAATGGGTTTTTTTTCCATAGTAGATAACTAGAAATGAAATATAATTGGATTCTGACATCATCGTTGATCCTTTCCATGGGTGTGGACTTCCTATCCCAGAATTCCACAGCCAGCATGGCCATTGTTGAGAATTCTGGGAGTTGAAGTCCACCCTGGAAAGGGCCAAAGATGGGAAGTGGCCCAGCAGCCGGCAATGGGCCCTTGCCATCCCAACTGCAGCGGTCAGGAAATTGGGCCCTTGTTCCCTGACCTGCTTCCTCTCCCTCCTCCTCCTCCGTCTCTGGAATAACCCTTTTTTTCTCTGCTTGCCTCTTCACAGCGGGAAGTAAAGCTCGCTACGTGGACATTCTGAACCCCAGCAAAGCCAAGTCCCCCGTTGCTGCTCCAGCTCCAGCTGACCTATTTGCTCCCTTGGCCCCGATGCCCATCCCTGCCAACATGTTCGTACCCAACTCAGGTGAGTAAAGGCAGGTGAGAAGGCGGCAAGTAAGAGCCTGCCAGTCCACCTTCCTTCCTTCCTTCCTTCCTGGCTGCTGTTTTTTCTGCTTCCCTTTCCAAGGAGGGAAAGAAGAGGGAAGAAAGCCATTGGCTGGTTTTAGTTGAACAGTTTTTGCGAGGAAAATAGAAGATCGGAGAATTTAATGAGCTGGCACCGGTTTTAGACAGACTGACTGCCTCTTATGGAAGAGCTTAGATCAGTGATGGCGAACCTTTTAGAGACCGAGTCCCCAAACTGCAACCCAAAACCCACTTATGCATCGTCGGGTGCCGGGTGGGTGTGGCCCATTGGGTGGGTGTGACCTATTGGGTGGGCGTGGCTGCGGTGGTAACGGCAGACTGGGTGAGACTAAAAAGTTCAATCAATCAATTCCAACTTTGCAAGATCTTTTTTTTTTCCCGCGAGAAGTTGAAATTGACTGATTGAGCCTTTTTTTTTTTTCTTTTTTTTTTGCACACGGCGGTGGAGGCCTAAAGCGAAAAGGTTTTATAAAACCCAGCTGAAGCCGTAGCACTGGGGCGACAGCGCGTGTGCCCACAGAAAGGGCTCTGCGTGCCACCTGTGGCACCGGTGCCATAGGTTCGCCACCACGGGCTTAGATTATAAATGTTCTGTTTAGATTATTTGTGAAAATACTCCTCTTGAATTCTCAGTTTTCCGAAGAGTTACGCTTAAACAGCATGTCCTTTTTTGGCGAAACACTGCCTTAAAAAGCAATACATTCCACAACGTTGATGCCTTTAACTTGAGAACAAGTTTCCCTTAAAGCCAGCCAGAGATCACCACTATGGGAAAGAGTGCCCGTTTCCAACTGGGCTCCTTTTCCATGGAAAACCTTATGCAGGCACCCGGGACGGAAGGGACCGGGAGCTTGCTCCTTTTTAAAAAAAAACAAAACAAACCTGTGACCTCTTCATATACAGTTCCTGAAGAGCAGACGCTGCTGGAGGGCGGAGTTGCTGAAGATCAGGTGGCACCGGGGAACGACGCCAACCCTGAGTCGATTGGAGAAGTTCCAGTAAGTTGGAGTTGCAAATGTGTACTTTTAGAGACGTGAGACCCGGGCCTTTGCACGCAGGAGCTGGGCTTAAAAGACCCCACTCGGAAGCCTCAGGGGCTAAGAATCCAGATGCTGGATGTCAGTGTTGGCTGGGCAGCGGGTTGTGCCTGGGTGAGGGAAGAGAGAACAGCAAAAAGGGGTGAAAGATTAAGAAGAAACATATGCAGTAGTCCTTGACATATGACCGCAGGGGACCAGAATTCCCGCTGTAAGTCATAGAGGTCATAAAGTGAGTCACCACGTGAGTGAACCTAATGACGGGACCATTTTCACCACAGTTGTTAAACGAATCCAGTTTCACTAGTTCAGTGTTTCTCAACCTTGACAATTTTAAGGCATGTGGACTTCAACTCCCAGAATTCCACAGCCAGCAATACTGACTGTGGAATTCTGGGAGTTGAAGTCCACATGCCTTAAAATTGTCAAGGTTGAGAAACACTGCACTAGTTGATGTTTTTTTGGGCAGAAACTGGCTGGGAGGGCCACACATCACAATCACGTCACCCCAAGACGCTGCAACCGGTTGTAGAGGCGAGCCAGTTGCCAAATGCCTGAATGGCAATCCCGGGACTGTTGGGGGTGGGAGGATAGGGGTCAATGCAAGGACAGCTCGCGTATGGCTTTTTCCGAGACGTCGTAATCTTGAACCCTAGCTAAACAGCCATGAAAGAAAGCCTACCTGTGTTGAGTATTGCACTGGCCCTTCTCTGACCTCTCCAAGGATGGGGAACGTTAACAAAAAAACACGAGTGCTTTCAGTTTTTATAAAACGCCCATTCGACTGCTTGGCCGTCGATCGTTTAAATTGGATTCTCTTGGGCCGTTGCTCCGTTTCCACCATTCATGGCTTCCTTCCTTCCTCCTTCCTTTTGTCTTTCAGTACTTAAATTCTGCTGCGTTTCCACCTGGGCCTGACCTTCCTGCACCGAATCCGGGGGACGCCCAGTCTGGAGAGGTAGGTTAGCTACTCTGAGCCTTTGAGGCCCCTGCCAGATCCTTCTAGGCCAGGGGTAGGCCACCTTGGCTCTTTTATGACTCCGTGGACTTCAACTCCCAGAATTCCTGAGCCAGCCAGGCTGAGGGGAAAGGGAGAGGTTTCCAAGCTGAGCCGTGCTGGCTCAGGAATTCTGGGAGTTGAAGTCCACGAGTCATACAAGAGCCAAGGTTGCCCACCTCTGGCCTAGGCCTAGGCCACTTCATGACTCGTGGACTTCAACTCCCAGAATTCCTGAGCCAGCCAGGCTGAGGGGAAAGGGAGAGGTTTCCAAGCTGAGCCATGCTGGCTCCGGAATTCTGGGAGTTGAAGTCCACGAGTCATGAAGGGGCCTAGGCCTAGGCCAGAGATAGGCAACCTTGGCTCTTTTATGACTTGTGGACTTCAACTCCCAGAATTCCTGAGCCAGCCATGCTGTGGGGAAAGGGAGAGGTTTCCATGCTGAGCCGTGCTGGCTCAGGAATTCTGGGAGTTGAAGTCCACCAGTTATAAAAGAGCCAAGGTCGCCTACCCCTGTTCTAGGCCCACCTTTGCAACAAAAAAACAGCAGGGAACAAGCTCAGGAGCTGAAAGGTCGTTGGAAGCAGGAAGAGCAGAACCGGAAGGAGGTAAACCGTACAGGAAGGTTTGGTCTGGCAATCTCTATCTGGGAGCCGAAGACCTACAGTAGTTGCCTCTCCTTAAAGAGGTTTGCCCTGCTGAGGAACTTTTGTTCCTCTGTTGAACGTTATTTGTGCATGAGTTTGACTTAACGTTGAGTGCCACGAAAATGCTAGGCTATTAAAATCCAACCCCAGGCCTTGAGTTGCATCTGAGATGTTTGTAACCCAGAAAGGGTCTTTTAAAAAAACAAAAAAAAAAAAACAAAGCTAACTTGCATTTAGCAATATGTATCATTTAACCCAGGGGTAGGCAACCTTGGCTCTTTGATGACTTGTGGACTTCAACTCCCAGAATTCCTGAGCCAGCTATGCTGAGGAGAAAAGGAGGGGTTTCCAAACTGAGCCATGCTGGCTGAGGAATTCTGGGAGTTGAAGTCCACCAGTCATGAGGAGGCCATAGTTCCCTCATGCTGACTCAGGAATTCTGGGAGTTGAAGTCCACGAGTCATGAGGGGGCCATAGTTCCCCCATGCTGGCTCAGGAATTCTGGGAGTTGAAGTCCATGAGTCATAAAAGAGCCAAGGTTCCCCACCCCTGGCCTAGTCCATTGTTTCTCCACCTCAGCAACTTTAAGACGTGTGGACTCCAACTCCCAGAATTCCAGAGCCAGCCATGCTGAGGGGAAAGGGAGAGGTTTCCAAGCTGAGCCGTGCTGGCTCAGGAATTCTGGGAGTTGAAGTCCACCAGTCATAAAAGAGCCGAGGTTGCCTACCCTTGGCCCTGGGCCCCTCCCCCTGCCCCTCCCCCTTTGATATGAACAAGAGTATAGCTGAGAGTTGCAGGCGGCTGGCATGGTGACTTTGATTCCTTTTTTTTGTGTGTTGTGTGTCTTTGCTGTTTTGTAGCTTTCGCGCTCTAGTTCAATGAGTTCATTATCCCGTGAAGTCAGCCAGCATTTAAATCAGGTACCTTGGCTGGCCCTCCTCTTCTCTTTTCTTTTTCCCCCCCCCCCCCCCCCCCCAAAATCATATCTTGTTCCAGTTCCGCCATCTCCAACTTGCATTTTATCAAACTAACACCTCGCCCTAAAGATGGAAGCCTTCCGGCCTTCAAAGCAGGGAACTGGAGTAGATTCACACAGCCATGCCTACCTCTTTGTGAGCCAGTCCTCCTGGGCTGGGGAAATATGATTGCTTTTCCACAATGTAGGGTTCAGAGTCCAAGCCAAAAAGAAAAAGAAAAGGGTCAAGAGTTGGGGTCTTGTCCAGCCAGCCTGGAATGGGATAGCAACCGAAAAACAGTAGAAAAAGCAAAAGTGCTAAACCAGGGTGTGTTTCAGTGTAAATCCAGCCATTGCCTTTATGTGTTGTGTAAATAGGGCCATTGGATTAAGCCAGAATATAGTTTATATAGTAGGAATCTGGTTTAAGCGTGCTGTGAGTGAACCCGTGAGCAAGTTTTAATGCCACTAGGCCAGGGGTGAGAAATTGGGCTTAGGAGGCACAGGAGGCAGGGTCAGTGACCTGTGATACCTCTGGAGCAGGGTTAGGCCACCTTGGCTCTTTTGTGACTCATGGACTTCAACTCCCAGAATTCCTGAGCCAGCCATGCTGAGGGGAAAGGGAGAGCTTTCCAAGCTGAGCCATGCTGGCTCAGGAATTCTGGGAGTTGAAGTCCACGAGTCATAAAAGAGCCAAGGTTGCCTACCCCTGCTCTGGAGGGGTCTAGCTGAAGTGCTCACTTACAAAATAGGGGCCTTAAGCCCGCAAAAGCTGTTCTCTGACTTCTTAACTCCCACTCCAAGACAAGAAAGCTTTTGCCCCTGCTCACTCAAGGAGGGGGTTGTTTCCCAACTGAAAGCCGCCCACTCCAGCATAATTAACCTATGGAGAGGGTTAAATCTTGAGGCTAAGAAGTCTTTCGGTTCCAAATAGCATAGTCACATTATTAATTCCCCTAAAATGCTTGCCTCTTTGAGCCAGAATGGATCTTAACCTCTGCCTAACCACAGACTTTGACGGATAGTTATCAACAAATCAAAGGAACACCCGTGGGATCACCACTATCAGGACTCAAGCAGAAATTGTCATGCAACATCTGGAATCAATAGCACTCCCATACGTGCAACCCCAAATATGGATCAGGTGTATAGACCACACCTTTTAATAAAAAGGGACCAGTTAGAGAACACCCACAAAGCCATCAACAACATCTGCAAAAGAATCCCATTCACAAGAGGTAGGGTGAAAATAATAACACGCTACCCTCCCTGGATATTCTTATCAGCACAGACTAGGATGGCAAACTAGAAACACAAGTGTACCGAACCACACACACACACACACACATCAACCAAGTGTTCCACTACCAAAGTAATAACACAACCTCCCACAAGAGAAGCTGTGTAAGAACTCTATTTAGATGAGCACAAACACACAGCAGCAATGTTGAACAGGAGACAGATCATCTATACAACATCTTTCAACAAAATGGATATCCATGCAACTTCATCACATTCATAAAAAGAGCCGTGGTGGCTCAGTAAACAGTCAAGCCGAAGAACCTCTAAGACCGTCCCCACCAACACGGACAGGACAAGCCACTAGAACAGGGGTAGGCAATCTGGGCTCTTTTATGACTCGTGGACTTCAACTCCCAGAATTCCTGAGCCAGCCATTCTGATGGGAAAGGGAGAGGTTTCCAAGCTGAGCCATGCTGGCTCAGGAATTCTGGGAGTTGAAGTCCACGAGTCATAAAAGAGCCAAGGTTGCCTACCCCTGCACTAGAACATAAACTGAGAGTAAACCCTGCTCCCTTCTAGCACTGATGAGGTAACCTACCATGTTTTCCTGAAAATAAGGCATGGTTTTGTTTTGTTTTTTGCCTCCAAAAGAGGCACCAAGTCTTATTTTTGGGGTAGGCCTTATCTCATCTCCGGCACTGACAGCCCCACCCAGCCGGTCCACTTCTTCTGGGGCCGAAATTCTGCAGCTGCATTCAGGCCTGCGTCTTGCAGTCAGGCCTTTCCAGAAGGCCTAAGCAGCTGAGTACCAAGCTATGGATTCAGTCCATGGCTTGGTGCTCGGTTGCAGAGATCTTGCAGAACCGAGCTACGGATTGAACCCATAGCTCGGTTCTCGGCTGCAGAGGCCTTCCGGAAAGCCCCATGACTGAGAAATGCAGGCCTGGCTGCAGAAGAGGCCTCAGAAGAAGAAGTGGGCCAGCGAGGAGAGGCCTGGTTGCAAGGCAAATGGGTGCGGGGTGGGTGGGGCAGTTACACACACACACACACACACACACACACACACTGCCCTACCTTGAATTTTAGGTATGTGCCTCGCCCAAAACTAGAGCTTATTTTTGGGGTAGGGCTTATATTAGGCCCACCCCCCAAAAATCACGCTAGGGCTTATTGTTGGTGTAGGCCAGAGGTAGGCCACCTTGGCTCTTTTATGACTCGTGGACTTCAACTCCCAGAATTCCTGAGCCAACCATGCTGAGGGGAAAGGGAAATGTTTCCAAACTGAGCCATGCTGGCTCAGGAATTCTGGGAGTTGAAGTCCACCAGTCATAAAAGAGCCAAGGTTGCCTTACCCCTGGTGTAGGCCTTACTTTCGGGGAAACACGGTTTGGGTGATGAAACATCTGCAAGAAAACCAAGCTCAGAGAGCACCCCTCATTTCAACCCTGAGTTACGCTAATTTATCAGTGCTATTGTGATGCAGCACATACAGGGCTAGGATTCACGGGGAGCGCTTTGGGGAAAAATTGAAGGGGTTGTTTTGGAAGTGTGAAGCCTGCTGTGCAATTTTGTAAAATCAGCGCTGGCAAGAAACAGCAATTCTGTCAGCAGGGAGTTTGGGGAAGACCACCAAAAAGGACCTAAGGGGCCACTTATGCCTTACAGGTTACCCGTTCGATAGTCATCTATCATACTAGATATCCTATGACATGACACGATGGCTGTCTTCCAGCACTTGAGCGGCTGTCACAAGGAAGAGGGGATTGACTCATTCTCCAAAGCACCAGAGGGCATCATTAAAGAGGGATCCAAGCTAGAAGTAATAACCTGTCAGTGAGAACGATCACTCAGCTTGCCCCCCAGAGTTGTGGGGGCTCCATTGCTGGAGGTTTTCAAGAACAGATTGGACAATCATTTGTCTAGAACAGGGGTCTTTAAACTTGGCCCTTTGATGACTTGTGGACTTCAACTCCCAGAATTCCTCAGCCAGCGTGCCTGGCTGAGGAATTCTGGGAGTTGAGGTCCACAAGTCATCAAAGGGCCAAGTTTGAAGACCCCTGGTCTAGAATGTCTAGGTCCCTTTCAGCCCTAGGATTCTATCCCAACTGCTTCATTGCATGAATGAGTAAAATCCACAGAACAGAAAACTAGCAAACTGTGTGTCTAAACAAGCCTAAAAGACCCAAGAGCAGAGAGCCCTCATTTTTGCTGGAAAATGCTCAGTGAACATTTTCTGCTCCCTTTTGAAATCCCAAAAAAACAAAACAAAACAAAAAGAATGTTTTGCTGAACGGGAAGCGTGCCTTTTCCATGTTTTGCAACATTCTTCTCCCTCACCTCAGACTCGCATGCAGGCAGAAGTCCTCTTGGTTGGGGGACACCCTTCATGCTGTGAGAAAATGCTCAACATTTCACAACTGCTGTTCACAGCTGCTGTTCAGAGGCCAATCAAAATGCCTTGGTGCTCAGCTGGATTTATGAGAGTTATGAATCTAAATGGATGGAAGCTCCACGAAGCCCTTGGGCAGAAGCCTCACAGCAGGTCCTGTTCTAGAACAGACTTTCTCAGCCTTGGCAACGCATGGACTAATCCCCAAAAGGGTCTATCTCAGGGCTTTTCAACCAGTGGTACATTAGCACTTGGCACATTAGCACTTGGCAAGGTGGCACATTAGCCACTTGTGGCACATTAGCACTTGGCAAGGTGGCACATTAGCCACTTGTGGCACATTAGCACTTGGCAAGGTGGTACGCGGCCATCCTAGAAAACTGGTAGCGGGGGAGGGGAATGAGCTGAACCGGTGGCAGCACCGCACAAGCCTGAGCCAGAGATGGCTGGAGCTGCAGGGCTGTCAGGGCTCAGCGGAAGCGCCAGGATCAGTGCCGCTTTCCAGGTGATCGGTGCTTCTTCAGGGCTGTCAGGGCTCAGCGGAAGCGCCAGGATCAGCGCCAGGCTCCAGCTGGAGCTCAGCGCTGATCCTGGAGCTTCTGCTGAGCCCAGAAGAAGCGCTGATCAGCTGGAATGTTGCAGCCTCTCCAGGGTCTTGTGATTTACACTCAGATGCTTGGCAACTGATTCATATTTATGACAGTCACAGTGTCCCAGGGTCATGTGAAGTGACCAAAACCTGCTGCAACCACCCCCGGCAGACGAGGGGAATAAAAACCAAACACCACCCCACTTCACCCCCGCTGCCAATCCTCAACAGAAATGCTCACAACAATGAAAACCTCGGACAGGAGGAAGAGCGCCGCCGGGTGGGCAGGCAGGTGTCTTGCTCGGCTGTGGCGTGGGGGGCACTTTTTTCAGTGCCATTGTAACTTCGAACAGTCACTAAGCGAACTGTTGTAAGTCGAGGACTACCTGTACTTTATCACTTTTTTCCTTTTTTTGGGGGGGGTCATCAAGTTTTTGACCCCTTGCTAGGCGACTGGTGGTCCTCGGATGTTGCCATACCCTAAAAGTGGTGCAATGGAGGAAAAGGTTGAAAAGCCCTGGTCTATGTGTCTTAAAGTTGCCAAGGCCTGAAAAAGCCTCTCTCTCCCAGGTCCTGTCAGAAGTGCTTCAATCTTTGTACACGTCCATCTTTGGGCCTCCCTTCGGAGCAGCGAGGGGAGGGGATGCACCCCAACCAGCTGGGCATCCTTCGAGCACTCAGCACAGCTAACCTTTCCGCTGCTCCCCTTGCATGTTTAGAATGCTGCCCCCCTTTTTACCCCAAGTGAGCCTTTTCAGGCCCCCGTGCATGTGCCTTTGTTCTGTGACAGCCTGCACTGCTGCTCCCGTTGGTAACACAGAAGCTTCCCTGCGAGTTGGGGGCAGGTGGGTTTTCCTTCGTGTTTTGGCATTTGTGTGTAATACTCTGCTGCAGTATTGTGGGATCCCTGTCTGTCAAGCATACAAGGCAGGCTTGTCTGACTTTCTCCGGCATCTCAGTAATAGAAAACTGTCTCCTTGCTTTGTTTAGGCATCTTCTGGAGAACCCCCAAGTGGTGCTGTCCAGCTCTACAATCCATCTCAGTTTGCCCAGGTACAATATTCTTCGTCCTCTCAATAGGTCCCCTCCAGTGTGAGTACTGCAACACTAGCCTTGTGTGGACCCCTCCCCATACATATCCCACTCCCTGTAATGCTCCAAGATTTGCTCCAACTTGTATTTCATTCCTTTGGGTGGGTTCAGGGTTCAGGGTCCAAAAATTTTGCTTCCACCGTGGATTTGCTAGGAATAGTTCTCTTGTGAGCTTTGGGGATTGGAATTTGATTTGAAACAGAATTCGGAAGACCTTTGCATTGCGTTAAATACAACCTAAAAGGAGGATTTCAAACAATAAGAAGTTGTGTTTGCAGGGTTCTTTTTGTTTCAAGCTGTGCGGTTTTACCAAATTGATTGAAAAAAAAATAATGTCTTTTGTCTTTTCAGTCTGCCGCAGCTCCGGCTAGCTCACGACCTGGCAGATTTGGGCAGAGAAAATACCCCACCTTAAAATAGCATCCATTCGGTCTCTCAGCTTGGGCCATCGCACAAGAGTCCCCAAAGATGCCCTGGGGTGCCAGCGCCGTTTCTCAAATTGAGAATCAATCTGGGTTGCTCCCCCACGGAGACTGTGGCCGACACGTTGATTACCAAATGCTCCTTTACGTAAAAACTGGCTGAGATGGTCAAACCTCAGAGGGACCGGAGTGATCAACCCACCGGAATGCAGTTGAGGCTGCCTCAACCCGAAGGCCTGGGGATCCCTCTTTCCTCCCTGGTTTTGCTGACACTTGGCTGCTCCATCTATGACAAGACTTCTCCCGTGACACCTTTTCACCTGACAGTTTGTGGCCTTACAGGGACTGGGGCACAGTTTTTATGCACATAAACCCCCCACTTGGGTTTATTGCTCCTCTGGCACATTGGCAGAATTGGTGGGGATTTCCTTTTCCTATCGACCTTCCCTCACTCCCAATCTTTTGGGGAGGGGACTGTAGCTGATCCAAATAAGCAGACAAATGTACATTGAATAGGGGGACAGAAAAACGAAAACTGTGACTTGTAATCTAAGATTTAGTTGGAAGTGGATTTTCTTTAGTGTATATGTAGTTGGCGTCTTAGGCTCCTTGTCAAACGAACTGTAGAGTCAGAAGCAGACGCTCTTTGTATAGCGTTTCGCATCGTTCTCCTTCTGATAATTCCTCTTGAAGTGCAATATGGCTCCTTCCCGAAACTCAGATCCCTCAAAATAACACCACAACAGCTCAAAAGGGCTTAGCGTTTTATTTTTTAAATGTAGTGTGGAAGCTTTCGTTCTTCCGTCTCAGACTTTCCCCATTTCCCGCTGGCCGAGCTCATAAATACCTGGTCGCCCCCTTTTTTTTAACTAATTAAATTAGCAAGCCCCTCTAACAAGAGACATGAAATAGGTCTCAAGTGGGGTTGCAGGAAATCTTCAGAGCTGTCACAGGTTGTGCTAACATCCATGTAAGCCTTGAACGAGAAGGAACTAATCGTTGGTGCAGTAAAGCCAGCCCAGAAGACCCAATACGGAAGGTATTTTTTTTTAATGTTGATGCTCAACTCTGTGGTTTAATTCTACAATCTGGGTTCTGGAGAACCTTGAACACATTTCCAAGGATTGTTGTGGGCGAAGAGTTGTAGAAAAGGCAGAACTTGTCTCAACAACTTGCTGGCTTCTCTTCCAGTCATCTGGTTTTATCCCTTTAGACCTCTGTCTCTCTCGAGTTTCTCTCTGTCGGTGAGCACCAAGTGTTTTTCACTTCCAGCTTTCCCCCCACCCAGAGAGCCACTCTCTGCCCTAAATATTAGAAACGACACTGTACATTCTTAAATAAAATATTTTGCGCATCTGGAGCACTTTTCACACTTAACTCAGCCTAGGTTTATTGGGGTCCCCAACTTGATGCAGAAGCCGTTCTAAGAGTCTGCAAGATTCTGGCACTGGACCCTCCCCTCAGTTTGGAGAAAACCTTCTGAGGGGGTAGTTCATTGGGAGGATCGAGGCTGAATGGGTGGTCCCAAAGAGCACAACAGATCTGTATAAAACATTTAAGTTCCATTAAGTCATCATCAGCTCATGGTGACCACACAGACTTCCTCCAAGAGGGTCTGTCCCCCACCTGGCCCTTCAGTCTTCCAAGCATGTCCCCATCTCCCCTGCAGTGGGGTCCATCCCCTTCGCAGCTGGTCGTCCTCTTGCCCCTTTCCCAGCTTCTCCAGAGCTGGGTTTTCATCATGTGGTTTTCATAATAATAATAATAATAATAATAATAAAGTTGGAAGGGACCTTGGAGGTCATCGAGTCCAACCCCCTGCTCAGGCAGGAAACCCTATACCATTTCAGACAAATGGCTGTCCAGTCTCTTCTTAAAAAACTTCCAGTGTTGGAGCATTCACCGCTTCTAGAGGCAGGTAGTTCCACTGGTTAATTGTTCTAACTGTCAGGAAGTTTCTCCTTAGTTCTAGATTGCTTCTCTCCTTGATGAGTTTCCATCCGTTACTTCTTGTCCTGCCTTCAGGGCTTTGGAGAATAGCTTGACTCCCTCTTCTTTGGGGCAGCCCCTGAGATATTGGAATGCTGCTATCATGTCCCCCCTCGTCCTTCTCTTCATTAAACTAGACCAGGGGTAGGCAACCTCGGCTCTTTTATGACTCATGGACTATGCTGACTCAGGAATTCTGGGAGTTGAAGTCCATGAGTCATAAAAGAGCCGAGGTTGCCTACCCCTGAACTAGACATACCCAATTCCAGCAACCGGTCCTTGCCTCGAGAGAGACCTCTGAATTGAGGTGTTCGGTGATCTGTCCGTTTGTTTTGGCCCCCCACGGCCTCCTGGGGACTCTTCTCCGGTCCCAGAATTCAGAAGCATCGGTGCTCTTCATCTCCTGCTTCCTGGCAAATACGAGAAACAGAAGTTGGAGTCACGATGTATAAAAGCAGCAGGTGGTCAGTCCGGAGCAAAGCCCTCCATAGGGTGGTGATGAAGAAGAAGAAATGCCCAGTACTGTAATACAGGTAGTCCTCGACTTACAACACTTCATTTAGTGACCAAAGTTGTGACGGCACTGAAAAAAAAGGGACGTGACTGTTTTTTCATTTACAAACTTTTGCAGCATCCCCATGATCGTGTGATCGAAATTCAGATGCCTGGCAAAGGATTCATACATTAAATTTCACATCCACCCCACTTCCTCAGACCAGAATTCTAAGCAGAAAAAAAAAATAAGTTAAAACGAGCAGCCCCCCTCTCTTTTTCTCTCTCTCTCGCTCACGCTTGGAGGCCAGGTTGTAAGGTTCTCCTCTTAAACCTCACAAACTTCTCTGGGCTACTCAGGAATTTTTAAAAGCCAAAGAAACTCCTGAGCCGAGGTTTCAGCAAGAAAGCAACTTTTATTTTGATCAAAACAGAGTCGGGTGTCCTACTCCCTTTTCGTGGCTGCTTAAAGGGATGAAGGCACACACAGGAGAGCTTGCTCCCCACGTTTTATACTTTTTTGAGAACAAAGAGATTCAATTCTCTGTACCAGGAGCAAAGAAGTACAGGAAAACAAATTCCAAGGTGCTGACTCCTACACCTCAATCCAGGCTACCTCAACTTCTTCCCCCTCCCTATTTCCTGGACCATGAGTCTCACCTTGCTCCTTTCATGTAAGGCTAAGCAATCTCCTGTATATAGAGCAGGGGTAGGCAACCTTGGCTCTTTTATGACTCGTGGACTTCAACTCGTGGACTTCAACTCAGCCGCCCTGAGTCCTACGACGAGAAGGGCGGGATATAAATCCAAATAATAATAATAATAATAACTCCCAGAATATGCTGGCTCAGGAATTCTGGGAGTTGAAGTCCACGAGTCATAAAAGAGCCAAGGCTGCCTACCCGACATAGAACATGAGACATTTGCTTTTATGTAAATAATTTCCCAATATAAGACACCTACAAAGGTAGCACATAAACAAAGATATATATATAAAATGATTACAAAGTATCACTGCTAATATCAAGCTTGAGCATAAAATCATAACCTGCCTCCAGAAGCGGTGAATGCACCAACACTGGAGGTTTTTAAGAAGAGACTGGACAGCCGTTTGTCCGAAATGGTATAGGGTTTCCTGCCTGAGCAAGGGGTTGGACTAGATGGCCTCCAAGGTCCCTTCCGACTTTATCATTATTATTATTATTAAAATCCCTTCCATACTTACGACGGTCAGGGTCCCAAGGTCACGTGACCCCCCCCTTTTGCGACCTCCTGACAAGCAGCCAATGGGGAAGCCAGATTCAACCCAACTACCGGGTTACTAACTTATCAACTGCAGCGATTCCCTGAATAAACGTGGCAAGGAAGGTCGTAAAACGGGGCAAAACCCACCTAGCGACTATTTTCCCTTAACCACACAAATTTTGGACTCAATGTAAAGATCCAGAAAAATCCAGGATGTCCGACCCCAAGGAAAACAGCCTTCCCCCCCCCCACCAGTCCCCAGGGGGCTGGACTAGAAGACCTCCAAGGTCCCTTCCGGCTCTATTCTGATTCAGACAAGGCGGGTGGGCGGAGCCAATCAGGCGGGTGGGCGGCGCCTGAAGCGCCTCCTTCCTCCTGCCCCGCCCATCCGGGTTGGGCCTCCTCCCCGCCTTAGAAGAGGCGGCGGGAAGTGAAGAGCCGCCCTCCGCTGGTCTCCGCGGCAACGCGTGGAGGGGGGCGGGGCCAGGGGAGCGCACGCGCGCACGTGCGCGGCGGCCGTTGGAGGGGGCGGGGCCGGGGCCGGGGCCGCGGCCTCGAGAGCGGGCGGGTGGGCGGTGCGCGAGATTCGGCCGGGGCGGCGTTGGCTGCCCCACAACGGCCCTGCCAGGTAGGCCGCCCGCTTCCGAGGGCCGGAGGAGCGGGCGCGGCCTCTCCACCGTCGGCGGTTCTATTCTTCGCGCTATTTGCCTCAGCTTTTCTCCTTTCGTTGTTCGTTTCCCTCGCGTTTCTTTCGTTTGCGTTCCCTTTTTTCCTTTGGCTCGACTGGAGTTCGGCGTCGGTTGTGTGGTGATGTTACACGTGTCGCGGCCGCCCACGCCGGAGGATTCGGACGCCCCTCCGCCAAAACCAGGTAATTTAACTCGAAAGCGGCCGGCCAGGCTCCCTTCCGTGTCTGCCTAGGCCAGTGTTTCTCAACCTTGACCATTTTAAGGCCTGTGGACTTCAACTCCCAGAATTCCGGAATTCTGGGAGTTGAAGTCCACATGCCTTAAAATGGTCAAGGTTGAGAAACACTGGCCTAGGACGATGACTGGATCCTGACTCCTGAGGGGGGGGTTGTGGGAGGGCTTGGGGGCTCCGGTGCCGGGGGAGAAGCCCCCCCAAAAGGGACCCCTGGAGGGGAGGAGGGCCTGGAGTTGGGGACCCCCTTCTTGCCCCTCCCTTCCCAGGCTTTGCGCACTGCGGGGGGAGGAGGGGGGGCTCTTGTAACACTCCCCCCCCCGGCTTGCCCCTCCCCCCTTTCTGTTCCTGCCCGTTTAACTGCCTGCTGGTGAAGGGGGCGGAGTCCAGGGCTGCCCCCCCTCCCCCCTCCATCCATCTCCTGGGTTTGCAATTCACTTCCTAGCTTCTCTCCCCCCCCCCGTTTTCCCCTCCCCCCCCAGCAGCCTTTGAAAGGATCCTGGAAAGAGGAGCACAGGTAGTCCTCGGCATACGGCCACCATGGACCCCCAAAGTTTCTGTTGTTAAGCGAGACATTTGTTAAGGTTACGACTCGCTGCAGATATTAAGTGAGTAACACGGCTGTGCAGTGAATCCAGCTTCCCCCACTTGATTCTGCTTGTCAGAAGGTCGCAAAAGGGGATCACCTGACCCTGGGACGCAGCAGCGGTCCTAAGTATGAACCAGCATCTGAATTTTGATCACCTGATCATGGGGGAGGCTGCAAAGGCTGTAAGTGTGAGAAATGGTCATAAGTCACTTTTTGCAATGCCGTTGTAACTTTGAGCGGTCGCTAAATGAACTGTTGTAAGTCGAGGACTACCTGTACTAAGTGAGCCATTTGTTCAGTGAGTTTTCCCATATTTTACCTTTCTTGCCACAGTTGTTCAGCGAAATCATTGCAGTCATTAAGTTAGTAACGTGGTTGTTAAGTGAATTTTGACTTCCTCGTTGACTTTGCTGGTCAGATGGTTACAAAAAGTAGTCATATGACCCCAGGACACTGTAAGATAAGATAACCTTTAGTTATAACCGTCTGTCATAAGTATGAGTCAGTTGCCAAT